TTATTTTTAGACCTACTTTTCTACTTTCCGTGTCCAGTTCTGTAATCTCGAGCTGTATAATTCGTCCCCTGAGTTACTTACTCTTCAAGGCAATGTCATCAGTGAATTGCGAGTTACTAAGGTCCTCTACTCTTCCTGATCTAGGGCACTAAAAACCTCCCGTAAACACGTGGTGAATGCCACTTTATAACAAATCAATTGGAACCGATTGGGAAATTTCCACTTGGTTTCAGTTGGCTTCATTTGTGAAAAAGTACACAATTAGACCATTTGGACCAATTGGCCCGAACAGTTGTATGCCGATTGGGTCATATGATACAGTAGAATATAACCAATTGGGTCTATGAAGTGTATTTCTATTGGTTGAATTTCAATTTTGTCAAAAGGTGCGGTCAGAACATAACTAGTTGGATCAATTGACTGTATGCCAATTGTTTCAAATGGCATGGTTAGCACATCTGTCTGTAAAAGTTTACAAGCTGTAGACACCTTGGTGGGGAACCATGCCCAGATGAAATTCCAAGATTAATATTAAACAGGCCACAGCTTGCACGGATTTTAGCTGGTATATTGCATGTAACGTAATTGATTTTTTGATAGACTCAGGACTTGCTAATCCAGCGAACTCCACACAGTGAAGGCAGCGTGGTGGGGAACTCGAAATTTATTAGAACATTTGCATAATTGTTATAATTGAAAAATATCTTTATATGCAGCAATGTGCTTGAGCGCACCCTTGTACACCACCTGAAAGAAATTAAGGCAATAATGACTCATCAAACGTATACGCAATTACAGCAAATGTATAGTTTTACCAAATAACATAGGTGGCGTAAACCTATTCGCGTTTAGCATACGTTAAAATGACCCTTAGCTCAGTCTGACAACCTAAGCCTTCGCACAGATAATGCCGTAGGAAAACTATGTAACGATTATTAATGTTCGCCGTCGCTCCGCCCCATCATTACTGTGCTTGACAAGCTGACGTGAAAAAAATGGGTTTAATTATGTGTGAAGTGGTTACATTTCAATGAAGGCGAAATGCGACGTACTCTGAAGGCAACCGGTTATTTTTCATTCAATGCTACACTGATTAGACGTCAAATGAATTCACTAGCACATAATGACCAGCGCTTGCTGCAAAGACGCATGTGTGCCAAAAGGCACCAGCATTACACAAAGGATTACACTAACCAGCATGCACTGCGCTTTGCGCATTTTATTACATACTGCAGTGAGGTATACGGTGACTCAAAGCGTAAAAAAATTGGCCCTGTATCTGCAGTTATACTGCAAATGTCGTCGAAAGACGATAGTCTTGCGTATGGAGAGAGTGAACAAAACATTTATTTGATGTTCTGCTCAAGAAAATTGGTGAATGGTATTCTGGAGGCGCAGCGTTAGAGTGCCTCGAGCATGCAGCAAAGGTGAACGAGCGGATCAAGTCACGTCACACGTGAGACATGACCACCATCTGGCCGTTTTTTTTTGTTTCAAAAACAATGCGCATGGCTCTGAGACGGGTGTGCGTGCCCGCCTCAGAGGTGATAAGGTGTAAAACGCAAAGCGACAGGTAGGTGCCAACACCTTCTCGCTTTAGCAAAGCGTTGGAAACACTCGCCTTTCCGTGCAAGCGTTGGATGGTCAGCACAGCGTGATAAGCGCTACGGTCCTTAAAATTACTAATGTGTGCCTTTCTAGTAAAAGGCACACATTCAGAATATATACGTGTTGTTATGGTGCCCCAGAAACGAGCAATAATTGCTTTTTAATCAACAATTGCACAAGTATGAACGCTGAATCTAGAGCAACATAGGTGGGCGCTGCGGATGGGGTCGGCCGTTTACAATAACTGATGTTAAGAGTGGACAAACATACAAATGTACAGACAGACAGGCAGGCAGACAGACATTGATTGATTGATATGTGGGGTTTAACGTCCCGAAACCACCATATGATTATGAGAGACGCCGTAGTGGAGGACTCCGGAAAGTTTGACCACCTGGGGTTTTTTAATGTGCACCCAAAACTGAGCACACGGGCCTACAACATTTCCGCCTCCATCGAGACAGACAGACAGACCAAAATTATTGCCTCGAAGATCCCCAAGAAAGACTATCATCTTTAAAAATAAAGAACCCAAATACTCGGGACAAACGCTAGCATATACTCGAAATGCGTATGTGAAATACTTCGAAGGATCACAGCTGAAGAAACCGGTGACTCTCGATCAACAATGACGAAGTGGTCACCGCACGGTACAACCAACACTACACTAAAAAAAAAAACACGCGAACATGCTCGTCTCGAATTGTGACACTTTCTACGGATAAAAGCGACCAAAAATAAATTTCACATCTTAATGTCACCAAGGTTCCTCTCACAAACACACTGCATGATAGAACATGCCGCACGCCACACGCACACACGGAAAGAGCACCATGACTGTAGCAGTGCTATGTCCGAAACTGCCAAAGCTATGACGTCATAACAATGTTTGACCACCGTCTGTAATGCTGTTACCGGTAAATAAATAATGCAGCTTAATTTTAATGTAACATTTATAAAGTATGCTAAAATTTTGCATTTGTATTGGAAAACATAAGAAATACGAGACTAGTGCTAGTAAGATGTGGGTACTTTTGTTGTCAGCAAAAAGGCCGGCACAGCGGTGTTAGTCGAGGCAACGCTAAGTTCACTGTGCTTTGATCATGGCAGATAACCACAAGTGCTCATTTATATATATATATATATATATATATATATATATATATATATAAGAAAGACGAGTGTACTTAAGGGCTCATTTTTCCTTGTTGTACACAATAATAATGAGAATTAGCAGACAATATTGCCAAGAAAAGTGTAGGGGAAGATATTAGACCGAATTGTATTGTAACTTTCAAGAAGAAAAAGTGGGTATCCTGCCCATGGCAAGTTATCTTTTCACCCACTTTTCTTTCTTGATAGTTACAATACAATTCGGTCTAATATCTTCCCCTATACTTTCCTTGGTATTATTGTCTGTTAATTCTCATTATTATTGTATAAAACACAGAAAAATGAGCCCTTAAGTAGACACGTCTTTCCTTAAATAATTAACGAGGGTCTCGCACTGGCAGACTTGGTGCCTTTAGGTTGTATATGAGGGACTATTGGTCAGCTGCCCACTCGTAACAAGTACACATGCTACGTGACGCCAAACAGGCTCAAAAAAGAATGTGCCACACTCGCTGCCATGGCTACTGGTGACGCTGACTGACAATCCCACGTTTCAATTCACATATAAACCCAATAAAGTGGCTGGAGAGATAGCTGCCGTGGTAGCTCAGTAGTAGAGCATCGAACACGTCATTCGAAAGTCCCAGGTTCGCATCCTGCCCATGGCAAATTATCTTTTTACGCACTTTTCTTTCTTGATAGTTACAATACAATTCCGTCTAATATCTTCCCCTATACTTTCCTTGGCATTATTGTCTATTTTTTCTCATTATATATATATATATATATATATATATATATATATATATATATATATATATATATATATATATATATATCAAACACTTCGCGCAGGAAAGTAACTGACCGCTATGCCTGAAACGGGTAGTTGCGCAACGCTCAGTATGACTCATGATGGCTAGTAGATTTCGTGCCATTTGTGCACAGGTATGCGGGAGACATTAAAAAAAGTTCGCTTTCTTCCAGCAATATTTTTACAATCAATTCATACGGAATACCTTATATTACGACTGTAAAATGTGCAATTTTCTTTCGGGCCATCAAAATTAATTCAACCGATTGGTGCTTTGCATAATGGTTTAAATAATATATAAGTAAACGCTTATATAATTCGAAAGTAAACGAAGTCGGAGCACTTGATCACTCGGTTTTGTTGATTACATCGGTGCACGCAAACTTCCAATGGAATGGCCTGGCCAAACTGAAAACGGGTGTTTCCATTCGGCAGTTCCAGTTGTATCAAACGGCCTAGTTGGGTATTCTATTTCCCAACTGGAAGTGAGCTTCCAATTGAGAGCTCCTAATTGGTTCAAGTGATACCGTTTGGCGATTCCAGTTCTTCCAAATGGTGCACCTAGTGATCTTATTTGACCCAGTTTGAAGTGAGCGCATCATATTGAACCATTTAGAAATTTTAAATGGTCTTGTTGGAAACACCATTGGCCCAATCGGAAATCACTGTTATTATTTGGACCGATTTATATCTTCAAACGGTTCTAATTGTTTTCTTTTTTTTTCACCTAGTATAGTACTGGAGAGATTGTGTCTGCCTACCTTACACTCTTCTTTATTGGGATCCTGTCGCTTTCTTTATGGAGAACTATGGTGGTAGTCACTCCGCTGTAGATTTCTTCCAGTATATTTATGTAAGACTCGCCGATGCGCTGATTCCCTGGTGCTTGCATCACTGCTGATGTCTCGACTAAGTCAAATGCCTTCTCGTAATTTGTGAAGGCTATATATAGAAGTTGGTTGTATTCCGCGCATTTCTCTACCTCCTGATTGATAGTACTGATATGGTCTATTATGGAGCAGCCAACACAAAATTCTGCTTGGTCTTTTGGTTGATTGAACTTTAATGCTGCCCTAATTCTATTAGCTATTTTTGTAAATAGTTTGTAGAGAACGGATAGTAAGGTGATCAGCCTGTAATGTTTCAGGTCCTTGACACCACCTTTTTTATGAATCAAGGTGATGTTGGCGTTCTTCCAAGATTGTGTTACCCTCCCCGTGAGGAGACACTTCGTGTACATAAGGTGGCCAGTTTTTCTAACCCAATTTCTCCACCATATTTCGGCCGGTTCGTTGTTGCCGTATTCTCTCCTTCCACACAAACCCTGTTTACCGATTTTTTTCATGCTTTACTTCTGAAATAAGAGTTTTGTGCACCTCAGTCTGATGCACACAGTTCATTACGTTGTCATTTTCATAGAAAAGCAAGAGACGCGAACACTGAGCCACGCAATCGACGCACGCAGGTGGCGACCCGGGCGTAGTGAACCAGAAGACGCCGACCACGCTGTTGCTAAACCCCGACGGAGAGTTTCACTCGTTCGGCTTCACGGCCCGCGACGTCTACCACGACCTCGACGCGCAGGAGGCCAAGCAGTGGATGTTCTTTGAGAAGTTCAAAATGACGCTTCATAGCAATGAGGTGAGCGTTATCGCGGTTTAGCTCGAAAAGCTCAAGCCACATGACAATGAAAAATAGTTGATTCGGCCTTCCGATTAAGTATGGCATGACCTGACTTTTCTGATCGCCACCAATTCCAAAGGTGAGAATTTCCCAGAGGGATGCATACTTGCCTCAAAGTCCCCCCTCCCCCCGCAACACGAGACACGCATATCTTAAGCGATACCCTTGCTCAAACAATAATCTCAAAACCATTAAAAAAATTCTATTACATTGCTGAGAGCCGTTCCCAAGTTGTGATGTGATGAAAGGTCAGAAAGGTGCAACGATTTCTTCGCCTCTGAAATGCAGTACACCAGTGTACATGTACTGCGACACGCTAACAGAACTTTTTCAGTGTTGGGTGGTCTTTTTCTTACTCTTTTCGTTCTCAACTTTCCGGTTCCATCCCTCTTCATCGCGCCTGCAAAATCTGTATCCACTTGCTTAAGAAGCACTCTGCGACTGCCAATGATGTTCTCATGATGGCTACAGTTTCATATTATTGCACTCCTCGGCGAGTAATCTTTATCGGCTGACTGAAGACGCGCCAGCGAAGAAGGAAGTCTCATAACAGGTGTTCGATGCTTTGTGAGGTTCAGGTCAACTTATCCACGTAGTTGCTTACAGAATCTACTGTAGGAAAGTGTAATACCCGTGCCCATGAGCAGAAAAAATGGCATTTACCCCCGAATGCCTTCAGATTTATTGCAATTCGCGCGGTGCCACACGGGCGAACAAAATGGCATTCATCCGAATCCCATTCGAATGCCATTCGCCACCAACTGCCTTCGCCAGAACTCAGTTGACTGAGAAATGCCTACTCTCGACGACACAGCTCGCGAAGTGCGATTTACCTAAATGTATATAAAAGAAATCATATTGAGCTAAAAATGAAATTTCCCATCTTTTATTTGCACTAAAGTCTTAAAAAGGTGCTTTGAACGTTATACAAAGAAAATAAAGTATTGATAATGAAACGCTTGTCAATTTTAGTGTCTATTTACGCTGTGGATCTGACTAGTGTTGGCTTAGGTTGCTACGGTCGGCTGCAACGTTGTAAAACAAAGCAAGAAACTAAAACTTAGGACAGCGTAATACGCTTATTTCTACATTTGATGATTATCTGATGTGTTTGAAGCTTGTAAATACTTCTTAATTTTTTTATTGCTATTCACTCAATACTCACTTGAAAGGTGCTGTGATCGACATCATCAAGTCAAATGTTATTCGCTTTGGACGTGTAGCGGCGCTGGCAAAACGAATGTCATTTGAGAATTGAAGGCCGTCGCCACCAAATGTCATTTTCTATGCCCGTGTGGCACGGGTATAACACTGTACATCCACCATGGGAATAATAGTCTAATCGTCATGTTTGTGACTACATGATCTCCTCAAATGCCTGAAAAATCACAATTTTTCAGCGCGTCTTGCAGCAGCATCTCGCGCACATGCCGAATAATCATTGCGAGTGGTTGCATTCGCAGCGCAGTATTCCACTGAATATGGTCATTTGCAACGCCGAAAAGTTACGTGAAAATGAGAAGTGGTACAACCATCATTCTTCGCATGCTGACTTCACATATTGCGAGAGCTGAATCGAACCCGTCGGCGCAGAACCTCAGCCGTGAAACGGAAATTCGGGCGGCCAATGGGCGACCCATGGCGGCGCTGACGGTGTTTGCGCACGCTCTGCGCTACTTCCGGGACCAGGCGCTGAAGGAGCTGAGCGAGCAGTCGGCCACCACCATCCTGCCTGACGACGTGCGCTGGGTGGTCACCGTGCCGGCCATCTGGCGACAGCCCGCCAAGCAGTTCATGCGTGCCGCCGCATACAAGGTACGTCTTTCAATAAGAATAATAATAAGTATAGTAATAATAGTAATATTAATAATATTAATTGTTGAGGTGCAATGTCCCAAAATCACGATATGATTATGAGGGAGTGAAACGCACCGGAAACCTTGACCACCTGTGGTTTTTAGAAGAGACACTAAAGAAAAGAACGGCATTCTGCGCTTGTTATGACTATCATATAATAGGTTGGGAGCGATTAAAGAAACGTCAACAAGGTTTAACAATACCACAAACACAAACTGTATTGCATAAGAGTTACATGAGCCCACAGATACAATACAGGGACACTAAACTTCTCTCACTTCCGTTCACTTTCTACGTAGCATTTGTCTGGGTTGACTGTATAGCACGATTATCCAATCTGTCATGATTATCGATGTCTGTCATCACAACCCATAACGACCTTATTTCCCCGGAGTCAAGAAACCATGGCCGCGGCGCCAAGCACAGTTGTACCATCGCGGTAACACGATAGCCGATATTAGGTCCACGTCTGCCCGAGAGAACATCATTCTGCAGAATGGTTTCTTGAAGGGCCAGTTGGTACAAGATACTGAAGGAAACAGCGCGAAAAATGGGACGAATAAAGAATAAACACTCGACACAAACGCTGACTAACAAGTGTGTCTAAATTTATTACACAAGGAAATATAGATCTGAAAATGGTTTTTGTTTTCTGTTTTCAACTATATATTTCAAGGTGTAATAAATGTACACACATTTGTTTGTCAGCACTTGTTTCGTGTGTTCATTTTTTCTCCGTCCCCTCAATACAATAATTCTTTCTCACTTTCTTCGCTCTTTCTTTCTTGCCAGCCCACTTTTGCTATGCGCCCCCTGAAAGTGCGGAACACATATATGTAAAGAAAAAAAAAGACACAACAGCGTGCTAGTAAAGCACAAATACACAATCCAGAAAAAATTAATCTTACCGCAAGACGAAGCTATAGGTAAGCGAAAAAATGCGGGAGAAAAAAACGCAGATGGGACTCTACTTGAAATTCCTACACCAAAAATCATGACGGCATAGATTTTGACCATGTCTGCTATAGGTCTAACGTACTTCCTAATTGTTGAAAATGAAGTATATTGTCATCTATGGGGGCCATGCAGACCTAAAGTGCAAAGTTTTAGAAAAATCCGTTGAGCCAATGTCGCGAAAATACCAAAAGTACATGTTGAAATTAGTGACGTCACGTGTGGAGATTTCCGCACGGAATTAATAAATGAAACTTCAACCTTCATTATGTCCTCTAATAATGAATTCACGATGGTGAAAATTACGGCAATATAGCTCTCAGAGTACAGTTTATCAATCTAAACCAGGTCATTGTTTCACTTTGTGTTAATTTAATGTGCACTTAAATCTGAATACCCTTTTCTCTCACCCAAACACTTCGCAGAACATAAAATTTCCTACAAATTTATGTTCCCACTTTGTCTGAGAACACAGCCTCCAAATAGTTGCTCCAGCCTGTAGTTGTTATTGCGGTCTGCACAGCTATCTGCAAGGGTGGAAGTGCCGCGCACTACAACAGAGCAGAAATTCGCACTAGCAGCCCATGGAGCCCACGTTCCGTAAATTTCTCTGGGCGGGTACACAGGCCTCAAGCATTTTCGCCTCCATTGAAAAGGCCGCACCTGCTGGCGCTCGATCTGGCGATCTTTGAGTCAGTGGTCGAGCAATATAACCTCTAGACCATCGTGGTCGGTGATGTTTTGTGTTGCCTTTGCGACTCATGTCTGTGAAATGTTGAAAGCACTATAAATGGTGTCTCTTAAATTTTATTGGCGCTGCTGGGTTTAAAACCGGTTGGGTGTCACACTTTGAAGCCGAGTATCTTACCCACAGGGCAAAACACCCACGTGTGCAGAATACGAATACATCTCAACCATGTTATACTACTTTGTACCAATGGTACAACCCCTGCCACGGTGGTCTAGTGGCTAATGTACTCGGATGCTGACCCGCAGGTCGCGGGATCGAATCCCGGCTGTGGCGGGCGGCTGCATTTCCGATGTAGGCGGAAATGTTGTAGGCCCGTGTGCTCAGATTCGGGTGCACGTTAAAGAACCCCAGGTGGTCGAAATTTCCGGAGCCCTTCACTACGGCGTCTCTCGTAATCGTAGGGTGATTTTGGGACGTTAAACTCCACATATCATATCAATGGTACAAAAAAGTAATAGGAGAGAACTTTTCATGAAGGTTTCGTTGAGATATTTTGTGAATAAAAAAGCCTCACCAAGACAGGATTGAAAGTCGAGACAGGTCATTGTACGAACCAGGAAAACTCCCATTTTGCAAAAATTCAATGCCTACCACTTGTTTCAGTATACGTGGGGGATGAGCCTTCCTTATAGACCATTGCAGAGGTTGATTCACAAATGCTATAGAGAGAAGATGAATACGCCGTGCCGATGTCCCTGACACCAAAGCTCCAAGAAGGGCCGCAACGGTATATTTTCCTACAATAAAAAAACTATGTATATTCTTACGCATTACTTAGCATAATACGAAACGAGATCTCGCGTCAGTTTTTTTTTTATTCAGACAATGATATTTTTTTCACGAAACTACCAGGATAGAGTAAGGTATTTGTCCTCCCCACACGAGTTATACGTCCAGTAGAAAGAATGAATTTTTTTCAGCTGTTACAGTTACCTCCCTAAGACTAAGTTTAAGAACTTCTGAAATGCATTCTAATAACCAACTTCGGGACACCTGTTTATAAAAGAAGTTTGTAGGGTGTCAATACATACGGCGCCATGTTACACTTTCTCGAACAACCTCCATGTATCGCGCCTGCACGGTGCCAAGTGCGTGAACTGTGTGCTCCTCCAGACCGCTCATATTCCGCAGCGGTTGTGCATTGCACACAGTTCTATATTGGTGCACTTGAGGGAATTCTGGTGCCTATGGGAGCTGCAACGCATAGATTACAAGCCAGCAGGAAAATGGTGGGTATTACACGTGGATTGATGATTGATGTGTGGGATTTAACATCCCAAAACCACCATATGATTATGAGAGACTGGAGGGCTCCAGATATTTCGACCACCTGGCGTTCTTTAGCGTGCACTCAAATCTGAGCACCCGGGCATAGAACATTTCCGCCTCCATCGGAAACGCAGCCGCCGCAGCCGGGATTCAATCCTAAGACCTGCGGGTCAGCAGCCGAGTACCTTAGCCACTAGACCACCGTGGCGGGGCTATTACACGTGGAGGAAAAAAAAGAAAAGCGGCAGCATGGCATGACGATAGCACGAAAACAGAACGACGATGAAGGGACAAAAAGGAGTTTGTGGTCATTCTGTTCTCATGATATCTTCATGCCATTCCAACTAGCCCAAACCACGACACTTCTAATGGAGCATGACGTCCCACCACCAGCCTTTGCAACCTTTGATCAAGCAACTAAAAACAACAAAGTTGTCAAAATTTTCCAGGTCAAACTGATTTACTGTACATTCTTGTAGTGTCCCTTTGGGTTGAGTGGCAATTAAACGAAACATTATGCCCCCTAACGTGCACCCTATTGCCATCCGTGGAGTCGCTGAACCGCATGAAGCAGTACACATTTCATGTTTGTTTTTTTCATTTCGCCGAATGCTTTCATTTCTAAAAATGGTCAGGAAGCAGGTAAAAAGTGGACAGGAGCATTGCTAATGAAAGAAATACTTTCCCAATTGCAGCAAACTTGCACTTACCTCGTGTAAGTTTGTATAAGCACGTTTGAAGAATACCAGGGGGTCGGAATTCCCAGAGCTGGCCATTACGGCGTCCCTCACAGCAATCGTAATGCGATTCTTGCCCGTAATATCCTAGCAATTATTATTTACATATACAGCTGCTACCTGGCAATAATTTTTTCTGGCTTAAGTTCAACACCAGTTCTTCCATGTTCATTCCAAAGACAAGAAATCACTGGTAACGTAGTAAGTATGATGAAAGCGCGAATAACCAGCACATTCCGTTGCGACGAATCTTTCGTGCATGCTGATTGCCACAAAATCAAATATACTGATGCCACCCTACGAAATTCTGGCATTTTATGTGCCCTGGCAGTTTAGGAGCCAGAACCATGATAGAATGGTGTGGTACACAGTAGCGCGGGGACTCCGAATTACTTTCGTCCACCTGGGGTTCCTAAACACGCACCTGAATTTAAGCACACGAGTTGTCTTATGCATTTCGCTCCCTTCGAAATGCGACCGCCGTTGTTGAGAATTGAACTGGCAACCTTGAGCTCTTTACAAACAAGAAGTATGCTTCATAGAGCAGTATATTAACTCAATTTATATGCCTTAAAGCATAATAAACTTGCACTTAATTTGATACACTGTCTCGCAAGAATAGTGTCACACTTGGATAAATTAATAAAAATAAGCCTGGTAGTTTTTTCTATTCCCTCAGTATGCATAACGTGACTTTCAAGGTACATGGCATTTTAACTAAAGGTACTTGACAGTTAATTAACAATCTTGTCCTTCAATTAGTGAGCAATGCAAAAATATTTATCAACCTGGTCTGTTACATGTAACCTTACGGCGCGTGTGCCATCTGGAAAAAAAAAAAGAAGAGTGCCGCCTTCATCACAACTTTCTCTGCATTCTGACGGGGATTCTTAAGAACCGATGACTATGACAACAATATGATCATGATTGTGGTTGACGGTTCGCAACGCTGTGTTGTGAGAGTGAGTTTCCAACTTCTTTTCGCCTGATCCGCATGCTCCCAGGCGGGAATTGGCTCCCCTGACTTCCCGGAACAGCTGATCATTGCTCTGGAGCCTGAAGCGGCATCTGTGTACTGCCGCAAGCTGCGCATGCATCAACTAGTGCCCGAGGCCCCCGCTAGAGTGCATCTCTTCCGAGAGGCAGCGCCCGAGCTGAATACCGAACCCGCCGTCGACGAGAGGCCAGGTATGGCACAATGAACAGGGGGGGAAAAGCTGCCCACGTTTCTGCGTCATTCGCAGTGGTGAAACGTAACGGAAGCCCAATAAGATAGCGAGGTGTGCACCACTAATATTCGGCAATAACAGCGCATGACAGACGAGGACAAAAATCGCAAGAACAAAAAGAACATGTGCTCAACTCGGAAAGCAAGTGTTCGTTTAAACAATTTGCTAACCGCTAATAAGGGTCACGAACTCTCCGCGAAACCGGAAGTGAAGCTTAAGCGTGATAGATAGATGTATGGTGGTGCTGGCATTCCCGAGTGTTTATTATAGAGGGCTCGGCAGAGATATTTCGAGATTACACTACGATGCGATACAAAATACTCGTACACAAAGAATTTCAGATAGATATACAAGATACATTTAATTTATCCGAAAGGATACTTCCCAACTCGGTTTAACATGGAGTATAACTTTAAAAGTGTGTTTCAAAATTTGGCTGCACAGAAGTGCTAAGAAAAGTTATGAATATAAAATTTTCAAAGTATTTTAAAGATACAGTACAGCTCAAAATTTGTTTCAAATTGTGTTTATTAATTTTTCGGCTTTGTGTTTTTATTTATAAAATTGTCACTTATGAATTATTTTATTAGTAAAGAAATACTGATGAACTTATTCTACTGACTGATTTTAGCCCCGGTCTTGTCAATGCCACTCTTTAACAATGTGAGAAATCTTGTTTGTTTACGGCCAGTAGTTCCCGAGAAAAATGCACTGAAATTTCAAAAATGTTGTTTTGAGAAAAATGCAGATGCTATGTATGGCGACACGAGCACTTCCTGTCAATGTGTAAATTTAAATGGACCAAATATTATTTATGAAACTGCGAGTGCCCAAGTTCGGTATATTTTTTGATAGGTGGAGAAATTCTCTGGGAGGTATACAATTGCAAAATCCCAAAATTGAATTTTCTTTCTCAAGGCAAGTCTCACTCCACCCCTGTCACACGGCCATCACTGAACTCTGTTAAATTTCATCAGCGTAAAACTCCCCTAGGGAGTTTGACACAAACGGAGTTATGCCGACGTCACACGGCAATTGTACAGGCTTTGTGAAGAAGCCGCAAGAGGGGCACTGCAGGACCCTTTCCGAAGGCAAGATTTCGCGCCTAATACTTCTGAAAACATTTTTAATCATATGTTTGATTATATAAATTATAATTTATTTACACCAAAAATAGAAAAACTTTTTGGCATGTATCACAGACATGTACACCTGCAAGCAAGTTGGCAATAATGTGGACAGAGATGTAAACACCATGGTGCGCACTGGTAGGACGACTGGTACGCTAGTCTAAACCCAAAGAAACTTTTTCAAAATGGCAAAATGGTGGCTTTTGGTGGGGCATGGTGTGTAAAGTGAACGTGTGATTGCTCGCGCATTTTTTTATTGGTAAAAGCATGTTATGGGCGGGTTGTGCAGTGAAAAAGCTTTTATTACAGTTAAACTTTATTACTGTGTTAACTACGGCTGTCTTATGTTTGCAGTTTTTTCCGTAATTACACATTACTGGGGACGAGAGCAGTCTCTTCGAGGAAAAAAAAACGAAGACAGTAAAAGAAGAACACAACACGACCGCTGGTACTTAAAATGACACTGAGTAGTATTGAAAGCTACGCAAGTTGGTAACAATTTATAGATGGTCGAGGTAAACAACGCAAAACATTGCTCTGTCGTCGTTTTTTTTTTTTCGCTGTTTATCTCAACTGGCCATCGTTACCAACTCACCCAGTTTTTTCAATACTACTCCCTTCCACCGCTAAGGGAGATCGCTGAGCTCCCTTTACGAAAAGCTTCGTTTGACGTTAAAGACAACGTGTGACACGGACCGTATCTCTGTTGTCCTCTGTTGTCGTAAAGACGAGGAAGTTAAACGGAGTTTGTGGGTGCCCGTGTGACAGGATTATCACAACCCCTGACGACGAAGATTTTGTTTGCAATTTTTTTCACAGTAATTTATAGCTTTATGTCTGGTAATGCCGAAATAGAATTCCTAAATGCTCTAAGCAATCGTATAATTAATGTTAGCATCGTTTATTCGGAACAATATTGCGTAAGTTCAAAACCCCCGCCTAAATACTGTGAGAAACCAGCGCCCCACGGCGAGGCAGCGCCCGAGACCACGTGCGCTCAAGCTTCGGTGATGCTGAACGCATTATTTTTAAACAAAGAGACCAGCAGGAACTCAAGAATGAATTGATGTGGGTGCTTTTAGCGTGTCCCCCTCACAAGAAAAAAAAAAGTATTCTTGGTGTAAGAAGGCAAAACCTACCTTGAGTGCAGCCCTAGAACAAAGGGGAGAGGGTGACGAACAATAGCCCTTCTTGGGTAGCTAGTCTGGGTATTGTGCGTGCCCCGAAAATGTTCTCTGACGTGGACAATACTTGCTGGACCTCTGCAACGTCACGAGGGTTGTGGGGCTACGTTAAATTACAGAAAATTTCGATTGTACCTGAATATTCGGGTGAGCGCTCATCCTTACTTTAAAACCAAATTTAAAAATATATATCTTATAGACAACACTCATTACCGATTTTCGGTGAAAAGTCCACATGCAGAACTCACAAACAACACCATCTTGAGTTCCCAAATTTGGTGTCAGGGGTCCTTTGAGATACGAAATAGGGAAATTGCCTGAGGGGCTCGTTTTTCCGCATTATAGACAACAAATGAAACCGCCCAGCTATCTAGCCAAGAAAAATGCTGGAGACCTTATTTCTTAACTGTATTGTGATGATCCTCACCTAAATTGAAAGCTAAAATGAACAAATAATTACTTTTTTTGTCGGCAGGATCCGAACACACAACCTTCGAAAATCGTGTCCGATTCTATACCATTTGAACTATGACGAAAGGTGCCCCCTCGTCCACTTTTCTGCGGGGTATTTATGTGTGCCTGATGCATGAAATTGTTAGCCAGCATCACTCTTGTACCCAAGGCTGCACTGTAGTCATACGGGGAGTGCGTAATACTCTTTTTTTTTTCAAAGAAGGCTTCACAGGGCACGTTATACATTAGTGCAATTTTGCTGTAAATGTACCCAATAAGCTAGCAGCAAAAGCTTACGCTCAAAAATGTTCACTTGCAAATTGCTCAAATGCCACTGACTTTGTTTTATTGAAATGCCTGTAAGTATGCAAGCCCAACAACAAAAGAAATGTATGTCTTGCTCAAGCTATAATGTCAGTTTAACTCCAAAAGAACTTATCGTGGTTGCTTTTGATAATTAGCATGACTGCTTTTTACACGCTCGCTACGAGTGCCTGTTATTGTGTTGACACTTTTGTAGTCAGTGCCATGTGCGCCTGCTCTGCTTGCCAACCAGCTGCCTGCAATTGAGTTACGAATACGTTGAAAAACCTTTACGGCATGGTATCCTCAGTTGGAGCGGCGCTCACGCCATAGAGAAGTGTTCTTCCTCTTGTTCTTCAGGCGCCTTGATGATGATATTAAGGCAGGAACACTGGGCTGTCGTCGCTTGGAATAACGCAGGCAAAACAACGTGTAAAAATAGTAAGAAAAAAAGAGGAAGCAAGCGAGAAACAGAAAAAGAGAGAAAGAAAACAGAAAAAGAAGACAGAAAATGTCTGAAAAAGAAAAAGGAAAAAAGAGAAAACCGAGCAGAAGAAACAAAGAAGGCTGCACACTTCGTTCAAGCTTAACATCACAAGGGCAAAGCTGTCCTAATCTTTTAAGAACGCTAACCGCCAGCAAATAGTTATTGCCCACAATGAAGCTGCCTCAATTTTTCAGGAACGCTAGCTGCCAGCAGATAATTATTGCACATAATTTGAGTCACTACTTCAATACAATTTGTGAAGAAATATAGTATGAATGACAGTAAAATATTCATACAATTACGATCTGCATACAATTTATAGCTGCCACATACACTCTAATACACTCTAATTTGTACAATGTACACTCTAACAGATATAAAGTTCGGAACTGTCTAATCGGACGTTTTTCAAACCGACCTACAACTTTCTCATTGAATTTTCTATCTAAATTCATTCCTTCTAAAGTTAGTATTATAAATAGGTCTAATTAAACGGTATTTTAGAATACAAAACATAGTTTGACTAACTCCAGGCAATGGTCAGCAACATGCCTTTGGTCGCGTCGTAGTTGCGTGTGTCGGCATATTTTTAAACTCTGGCTAAAAATAGCTGGAGCACCCTGTATATGGAGCCGACAAAGCAACTCCGTCGTAGTATAGGGGGCGATATGGAAAAGCCTTAACAGTGAGTAGTCTGGAGGGTGTTACGGGGACGCGAACTGGTCGCACTCCCTGCTAGCCCTGACAGGTAGCGGTCCCGGGCATGCCGGACAGCCAGGATTTGCTTATGAGCATGTGAACAGAATTGTGAAGTCAGTATACAATCGAAACTTCCGTTTAAACATATGTTGCAATTTTTCATGGGCCACTAAAGCTCCCCGGTACATTTTATAAGTATTAGAGGGCATGGCTTGTCATACGACGTTCAAAAAGTAACAACTTTTAGTAATGCGGTGAAATTCGATGTATGTTTATTATAAGAATGCATAGCGTTCGTAAGCTATTGGTACAAATGTTCGAATTTTTCTCTAATTTGTCAGGGCTGAACATTTTAAAAAATCAGAATATGCTTTCTTTTAATTGGGTATGCTTCAATTAAAGAAATTTCGAAAAAAGGCCCACTCTTGCTTCTAATGAAAAAATGCTTCATTGGACACGTATAACTAATATTTTTATTTGCGTCATACGGTAAATAAAAAATTGAATGAAACACTGAAAACTGTGAAAGGGCGGGGGGGTGCTTATTTGCATATTTCAAATCTACTGAAACAGGCAGGGGACGACGCTTGCTCGGGATTTTTTGGTAAGCAGTAGCCCCCCCCCCCTTTTTTTTGGCTGCACTGCATAAACCTCCTCGAGAACACTATACCTCGACTGCATGCCTGTCACAGTCCTGCATATCCGACTTCTGCGCTTTGCATGAAGTCAAGAATCCTGCATTTTGCACGCTGGCTGAGAACACTTTTCCTGTCTGCTTACTTGCGATGCCCTCGCACCACCAAGCCCACCTATTCATGCTATCTCTCCCGAAATATTTGTGCTGTATGATGTGTGCCTCGTCTTTCCCCGTATAGCGTTTGATGTATGTGAACGCACTTATTCCACTTGCAGCCTTGCATTTTTGTGTGTGTGTGTTATGTGTTAAGCAAATGTTTTTGCTTCTTCCTCCTTGCAGACATGCATATCCTACCTCCCTTGCGCTCGGAAGTTATCGAGGATTACCTTTACGGAGGTAAATCCTCTTGCCACATTCTCCAAACCATTTGTCCAGTATGAAATGTGCTTTCACTGGCCCGCATTACCTGTTATTCAATCTAGATTACGATTTTTCCAAACTAGCACATGAATAGCAAGGGTGGAAAGTACCACGTAAACGTAACGTGCGGACGCACCTGCGCAGAGGCATATGTGAACGCAACGTAGAAGCTTGGATCTCGCACGCTTCCAAAATGGGACCTTTGAGAAGGTTCCAAGAGTGCACAAGGTCCGTCATGATGGAGCAGTGGTTATGGTGCTCAGCTTTTGACCCGGAGGTCGCGGGTTTGATCCCCGCCGCGACGGTCTCATTTCGATGCAGGCAGAGTGCTAGAGGCCCATGCACTGTGCGGTGTCAGGGGACGTTAAAGAGCACCAGATGATTGAAATTTCCGGAGCCCTCTACTATGGCATCTCTTATAGCCATGTCATGGTTTTAGGACGCACAACCCCATATATTATTATTATTATTATTATTAATATTATTATTATTGCTCAACAGCTTTGACCGAATAAATGAATTCAAAGGCTGAAAAAGACGAGTGACCGTAATACACCATCATTATTAGCCTGACTACACCCACTTCCGGGCAAAGGGGTCCTGAGCTCGAAGCACGGAACAAAGAGTAAACTCTCCACACAGCTTGCTGGTAATAAAACGCCTTTATTTAACAGGTGCTTGCATGCACCTGCACTCGGTGTGTAAAGCGCGAGACAGACTGTACAATTTTTCATGCGATGCGAGTCTCGGAATGGTGATATTCCGGGACGTTTCGGGATGTTTCAGGACCTTTCGTCGCATCGGACTGCCGCATCGCTTGTCTGGCGTATCAAACCGGGACATAAACCAGGGAGCTATTTTTGCCACCACATCAGACCACCTGACAGCTGCAGCCAATGACATCTCCCTGTCACCACTCCGATCACCATGGCCAAGGCGGTCCGATAAATTGGAGTTTGAAATCATACCGTCTGTATCTGATCCAGGCGCCGGGAGGGCTCGCTGAGCTGTCTGTCCTTTACACTACGGAGCACGTACATCAGCAGGCGAGGAGCCATTCCACATGCCTAACGGTCAGGCACAAAGACTTTGCGGCCGGTACGGGGTATGGTTTCTGGAACCGTTGATGTCTCTGCTGGGGCGTCGTCGACTGTCTGGGGGCGGATCGTCGTTGTAGAGGACAGCTTGCGGTCTTGTCAGGGTCATAACTAGAGGGGTGTTAAGGGGCTCTGACATCCCAAAATTTTTCATTCCTTTTCGGGTGATAGTGACATATTTACACACCTTCACAACGAGCAACAGTTGCCAAAGTTGACCATTCAATCGAAAAACATCCCCCGAAAATAATTTTTGTGTACGGCCCTCGGTCCCGTGACTTTTGGAAAGTACCGGAATTCTTTTAACCGAGCCGCCGCGGCCACTCACCCTCTTCTCCCGTCTCTCGAGCCGTGTCTTAAGAAAGGTCATGAACATCGCACGTGTAACTTATCAGTGTGGCATAACATTCTTGATGTGTGGCGAGATCCGGCACTGCACCTATGCTCACACGGTGGCCGTTCGGAAGAGGTTGTGTCAGGTTGAGAGAGGAGGCTCGGCATGTCGAGTGAGGATATGGAGGAGGAAAGCGCTGGAGTGGAGGAGAGTGTCACTACTTGTTAAAAGGCCCAACCGCATGCACGTGATCTTCGAGCGATAGCAGCGAGCGACAACGACAAACTTGCTTCGTCGCATCGTCGCGTCACGACGGCTCCAAACACACGTCGGTGAAAAAGTGTCGATGTTGCTAGATTGAAAACTATCGCGTGCATACCCATAAATTGTGAAAAGAAGTATAAAAGTAAGCTGATGACAACATGTCTATGGTACCACTACGACAGTGTGCCCAGAAGCGTACGCTATATGACGGCTACAATGCCCTTCACATGACGATTTCACCTTGCAGCGAACGACCGTAATTGTCACAAGCTGACATGGAAACATCAAAACAAACCTTCAATAACAAGATTTATGACAAAATACGGCCGCTCTCTCACTTTCGGCGTGAGATGCTAATGTAAAAAAGGTGGTCCATACCTTGCATTCCTTGAAGTACGCGCGGATAACAAGCATTAATTGCGAGCAAATTGCAACTGAAGGGAAGACCAGGGGTGCACTCATATTGCAGGAAATCACCACGCTGGCTTCCGGGAGACAAGAGATCTATTCTAGATTTCCAGAAACACACGACGCGACAAGCGACAGCTACAAATGGGTATCTGCGACAGCAAATCCAGTCGCTCGTAGCTGCCCCTAGAAAATCGCGTGCATGGCAGTCGCGGGAAGTTCTTCCATTGGCTGCAATGATTGTGGGAGACGGCATCGAGATCCGTGTATACTTAAGCTTCAAAGTGTACGGTCCACCGAAGGCTGGAAGGAGTTACTGCTGCTGGCTGCTGCTGCTTGTGCACTAACTCCTTTTGGCGCGCCTTAGCGAGCGCCGTGGCGAGTGTGAGGCATATCGTCCAGCTGTAGAGCTTCAGAGAGTTTCTTGTCGCGTAGTCCAAGTTCAAAGCAGTTGCGGATGAGGCAATCCCGCAAGTCACTATAGTCGCACCTGTCTCCTATGTTATGATATGCGGTGACGTACTGGTTGGCATTCTCGGAGAGCTCTTGTACACACTGTTTGAAGCACCTCAGCTTGAAGACGACGTTTTTAACTTATACAAAGTGCGAGTCAAGTACAGTATGGTTGAGAAGGGGGCTAGTCAAACTTGGCTTTAACAAGACCCAAGTTTTTGACGACTTCCGTGGAGAGCGAGAACATGTTAAATATTTGTCTCACTTGGCGACCCATTACGTAGAGCAAAGTTGGCACCTGCACTTTTTGTTCTTTTTGGACGAGTCCGGATGCATAGCGGTAGTTGTCGAACTCCAGAATCCATGCAGGCCATTCGGAGACTCGATGAAACGTGAATGGCTGCGCAGGTTTGAGAGAGAAGCCCGTTGCTGCACTCGTATACCTGCCGTAGCCGATTCCCTTATCGTGGTTGTTGAAGACCATCAAGGATGAAAGGAGCAGTGGCTAGAAAAAACGGCGGCAGAAGTATCCCACTTCTGACACCATGTCGTGAGCTCGAGGAGTGCGAAAGAGAAGTGACTCTCTGCACGGTTTGTTGGTAACAAAAAGCACTTATTTAACAGGCGCCCGGATGCCCATGCTCTTGAAGTGCACATTTTTCTTTTAATTTTATTGCGGGGGACCCCACGCTGCCTGCGTACACACCTTCCACTATGTGTAGCCATGTAACTTTTGGCACCCGTGATCGTGATGCAGCGCGCAACGGTGACAAGCGTCAAAGTATTGCGCTAGTCAGAACAAAATAAAAAATCCGCTGTGATCATGATACCTAAAAGAAAATGAGTCTCACTATTCAACTATGCAGTGATATTTAGGGGTGACGCTTACTTCGTACCTTAACTGCACCCAGGACATGAATAACAACCGCAACAGCACTACGAAAGTTATTTTTTTTTCTTAAAAGAAGCCGAGAAAAAGCTCCTATACCACAATAAGTCTGTTTGCATATAAGACATTTATAAGGCCGATACAAAGGCTAACATAAAAAACTGGAAGCAGATAGGGCAAAGAAAAGTGATAAGATTTTTTCGTAACAGGTACAGGCACACAGACTTGCCATCTAACCTTCTAAATGCATCAAAAACTGGAAGCAGATAGGGCAAAGAAAAGTGATAAGATTTTTTCGTAACAGGTACAGGCACACAGACTTGCCATCTAACCTTCTAAATGCATCCAATCTACAAACTCTTCTAGGAAAGGCGAAAGAAGCCCGTTTGAACTTCTTGTTTTAGCTGAATAATCAAGATAAGCGTGTCAAAATGCATTTCGTTTTCTTAATCCCCAACTACATGCCAAAAGCTTGCCAATGAACTTACAGAATATCTACATAGTATTGAAACTTTCAAACATTCTTTTTTTTTTCAGTTGTCATTAGGGAATGGAATCAACTACACCCATCTATCACAAATACCAAGTCTCTAAGAATTCGCCAATAAAATAGAAAGCACAAACAACAAATATTGTCTCAAACAAATGCCACAAGGACACTAGCAACTACGGCAGACACTTGTCGGTCGACTCTCCTCGACACAAAAAGGGTATGCCTACTGGCTAATTCTCTTTTGTTGTTTTTTTTTATTTGAATGTTTTTTATGAAATGTGAGTTAGCTGTTTACTTGTATAAAGGATGGTCAATATTACACAGTCTTATCTGAATAGTGTGATAAATGTTTGCAAGATTATTGTATATATTTCAGTAACCACTATTTGTTCTTGTATTATATTTACTGTAACCTCGTTTTTGACATTTCTTAGGTACTTGATTGTTCCTGAACTTTTCGTATTGCCCTTCTGCTACACTCTCAGATGAGAGCAGCAGTATTGGAAATAAGTAAATGTATAAATATAGGCAGACATGGTGAAGGACCTTTTCCAGTGCTTGGAGAGTTTCGCGACGCCAGTTTCCTTCGAGAGATCACGCTGCATGTGCTGCACCACAGCAGCGTCATGTCGCGGAGACATACACTCGGCAAAGCCCACATTAATACCACGTAGTAACAGAAAACGTCCAAAACAGAGACCAGTGCGCAGAATGGTGTATGCCCTTGCGAACATGCACCTATCTTCAATTAATGCATGGACAAACACGCACAAGCAAGCTTGTCCACGTGTTTTCTTTTTTCGTGTGCTACAAAACTAAGGTATAACGTACCAAGACGCCCAAAACGCCACGTCACCAATCTGCCGTGCCATTTCATGCTTACAGATCTAAATTAGAGGAGATTGCAGAATTCCCTTCATTATTATTTTTATTATTATTATTATTATTATAGCAATTATATGGAATATGGACAGTCTCGGCCGGTGTTTGCCGATATATATATAAACACGGAGAAAGATGTAAGATGAGGGAGCCCAATTTTTCTGCAGAGCGAACATCGCCTTTCCGGCCGGGGTCGTCTGCGCGCGTGCTGATCTCATGAGTGAAGAAAAAAGAGGCAGAGGGGGGCGCTTATGCTTGCCGCGCAATCGCGGCAACAATGGGCGCATGGCTTTTTCCCCCACAGCAGGCGTGAGCTTCTACGGGCTGCGCTCTCACACGAAAAAAACTATGGATCATCTCCGTGATGAAAACCCTGACGGGATGCGAAGCAGCAACGGTGCGCACGACATTGACCTAGTTGAAGCTGGCCTCAACGCGGTTGCTGGAAGAACGGTTTGAAGCGAAACTAGGTATAGAATTTACTCGAGTAAACGTTCGTTTGAAATGCAAAGACACGGGAGACGGGATGCGTTGAAGAGGCTTGCGCTCGGCTTCCTTGGCTCGCGCATCGTCCGTGTGGACGTCGCCATTCGCGAACGTGATCGGCTTCGCTTACCCTCGCAACGCCGGCGACCGCAGTGGAAGGTACGCGCACACTAGCGGTAACCATGCCGAGACGGCGTCTCGCCTGTCGGCGCAATTGCCGGGCAAGCAGCGGCGCGCTGTCCACATTGTCGGCACCGCGAAATTCTCGAGGCGCGCGCAGCGCACGCTTCTGCCGGCTCGCGGCTTCTTCCCGCTGACAGATGGAGAGAGGTGGCGCCGGTGAGATGATGCCGACGTGAGGAGTGGGCTCGAGCGTTGCGAGTGGTGGAGCTGGTGAAGCGAGAAAGGGCTGACACGCAGGCGAGGAAGAGAGATGCCATCGCGCACTGCTGGGAGGGTGTTAGCTACTTGGCACTGCTCCTATACTTGTGGCGAGGGGAACAGTGCGGACGGAGGGACAGCATTCCACAGGCTATTCAAAGAGCTGTTTTGCATCTAAAAACAAGTACAAGAAGTGTACCTAGAGCAGCCGTCCACATATAGATGCACTCTACACATAACAAAGTGCCACCAGCGGCGACACACCACGTATAGCCTTTAGTACCAGCATGCGTTGCCTCCAGGCGGCGCTTCTCATCAATGCCGTCACTACGCACGAGCCTTGTTGTGGTCACCTACTGTGGCCACGCCACAGCGAGCGCGTTTACTACAATTATATTGCTCCTAAAAATGCTAGCCTTGCTCCGTAAAACATTTTTAATATATTGCTATCGCATTCATTGCTTCGCCCATTTGGCGAAACTGTGACTTTATTATTATTAGTAATATTAATATTATTATTTACAAATAGTGCACTGAAAATTGTGTGCTAATGAAGTAATACACATGCGACAGTATCAGCACTCGATGAAATAGAAACTACCAAGGCCACATGGGCTAATATGGCATACGAGCAGCCGTTCCGATATATATATATATATATATGTGTGTGTGTGTGTGTGTGTGTGTGTGTGTGTGTGTGTGTGTGTGTGTGTGTGTGTGTGTGTGTGTGTATATATATATATTGTGGGCATTTGTTACTTGCATCGTCCTCATCCCTGCATGATCACAATCACCATCATCCGCTTGTCTCTTTGTCCTCATTGCCACCCAGACTACCAAGACTCCATAATATATATATATATATATAGAAAACATGGACTTCTTAGATGAAATGTGATGAGAAAGTCTTATAGGAACAATAGGTTTTATATTCATTTTATTGAACCATTCAGGTTGTTTTCATCTGCACCAAGGACAAAGGAAAGCGCAATGTAGTACAAGCATGATACGTCAAAATACCTGTTCCTAGATTTAAAGTAGATCAGCACCGACAAAGTAGATCTGTTCCTGGATGTCGCAAATAGAGTGTACAATCTTGTGTCAGCAACAACATTTGCTACTGACTGTCATGTCTTTCTTTCGTTCATCCTTGTAGGCACCAAGTACATGGTGGTAGACTGTGGTGGTGGCACGGTGGACATCACAGTGCACGAGTTGCACGACCAGCACGGCACACTCAAGGAGCTGCACAAGGCGACTGGGGGACCATGTGGTTCGCTGGGCATTGACCGTGAGTTCGAGCGCCTGCTGCGCGCCATCTTCAGCAGCGATTTTATGGACCAGTTCAAGCTGAAGAGGCCTGCTGCCTACGTCGACCTCATGGTGGCCTTCGAGGCCCGCAAGCGCAACGCCACACCTGACAAGGACACACCGCTCAACATATCGCTGCCTTTCTCTTTCATCGACTACTACAAGAAGTGCAAGGGCACCACCGTAAGTGCATCGTAACTTGCAGGCTATGCTCGTAGTCTCAACGGAAAAGGGTAAGCACAAGTGGCCGAAGCCGCAAAACTGCCAACCGTTGTTCACGAGCACACTGATAGCGAGATTGCCAAGCAAAATCTATTCTCCAAAGCAGAGGTGGCCTTTGGAACGGTGGACAGCCGCCCATATAGCTGTTAGCCATCCGAAAGCCTGAAATGCTTGTTTATTGCTTATCCGCAGATGTAATTATACGCACATAATTTTTTTCAGCAGAATTGCGAGTGACTCCATCTTCATCGCAGTTGCACCGAAAATCTGTTTGTTGGAATGGTTTCCGCCGGCCGCCCCTTTTTGAAAAAAGAGATTCACTTTGCGACATCGATATCAACGTGCTAGAAAAAAACGGCGCTGCGTGTCGCAATCTTGTCTCTCCGTTGACAGGTCACCTGTGCTAACTTTTTCACGTTACTAATGTATATTCACTGCACAAAACATCTCCTACAAATTATAATTATACCACCGCCTACATTCAGCAAGCATTTTTGTCACTGCGTTCTTTTTGCGAACGTCTGCAATGATATCAACCGTCCTTTGCACATATAAGCGTGTGTCATTTGTGCAGCCCTGCCTGTGGCATAATGCTAGAAGCTCCCAGCGGCTTTGATTGAAAACTTTAAAACTGATAAGTGTGTCCGCAATGTCTCATTGACCATAGTAAACAAACCAATGTAAATCATGAATGTCTGACAGTTTTGACATGCGATGCGCCTAATGTATTGTTGCCGAGAGAGAAAAGATTAAGCCAGCAGTTGTGCCAAGTAAGCCTGAACGAATAAGTGTGGAGCATGGCGTCCGTAGCTTTTTTTTTAGTTTGCTCCTTGTTTCATTGTCAAATGTCTCTGTTTTTTTTTGTTTTTTTTACTTTTCCAACTTTTTAGTTCCTCTGCTCATTTCTATTTATATATTTATTCCTCCATTTCTTATTCTTACCTGTTATTTCTATCTTTTATCCTATTTCTTTTCTTTCTCTCCTTTTCTTGCTTTTGTTTTTCTGTTTGTTTTTCTAATTTTCTTTGTGCTACGCTTTACTCTCTTTCCTTTTCTATACCCTCACATCTCTCCTCCTTATCCTGAAATTTCTAGCTCGCCCCTTTGATATACTATATGCTATACAGAGCTATAGAGTATATATGCTGTGCTCTGCTCTGCCAGCGTGTCTGGCCCTAGTAGATACGGTGCCCACTTTCGGATCTTACGAACCAGAATTTAAATATATTCTCACCCACAAGTATTTGTTTATTTATTTTCTTTCTGTGTTGCTTTCTTTCTCTCTCTCTCTCTCTCTCTCTCAATATATATATATATATATATATATATATATATATATATTAAAATAGAGATGTTGTACGTCGAGAAAGGTTCAGACGTAGCTTGGCAAAATGTCCTTTATCAGGCAGGTCTGGCTAATGGCGAGCGGCGTGCGCGAGCTACTACTGCAGCCACCGATCATCATCGTCGTCTTCATCACCAGCAGAGCGTCCGTTATTCAGATTCATTACAATTACTCCCCGCGAAATAAGGAGCCATCCTGGCGACCTATGGACAAGTAAACACGGGAGGGTCGTAGCAGGGCTTAAGTCTCGAGACGTGGACAATTTCCTGGCCACAACGACGTTGGTCAGAAGATGGTTCCAGTGGCTCGATGAGGTAATTCACCGGTGACGTTTTTTGTAGCACACGATATGGGTCGTGATACTTGGGGACCAACTTGGTAGAAAGGCCAGGTGTAGCAGAAGGGACATGCAGCCAGACAAGTGAACCTGGATCGTAGGAAGTAGTGTTATTTGATGCATCATGGTGGTGCTTTTGGCGTCCTTGGTCTTGGGCTGTGAATGAATTTGCCAGTTGGCAGCATTCTTCAGCGTATGTAGCGGCTTGAGACAAAGTCGTGGATTCTGAGGAGTCAGGTTTGTACGAAAGAATGGTGTCCATAGTGCAAGAAGGTTCGCGTCCGTAAAGGAGGAAAAAAGGAGACAACCCAGTAGTGCTTTGAATTGCGGTATTATAAGCGAACGTGATAAATGGGAGCACTCGGGTCCCAATTGGAGTGGTCTGACGAGATATACATAGACAGCATGTCACCAAGGGTGCGGTTGAAGCGCTCTGTCATTTCATTGGTCTGGGGATGATAGGCGCTTGTAGTGCGGTGAACGACGTGGCACTCACGCAGCAATGCTGTGATGACGTCTGACAAGAATACGCGACCACGATCGCTCAGTAACTCCCAAGGTGCTCCATGACGTAATACGATGTTGTGAAGAACGAAAGTCGCAACGTCTTTTGCTGTAGACGAGGGAAGGGATGAAGTTTCGGCATACCCCGTGAGATGGTCGACGGTAACTATGATCCAGCGGTTACCGTCAGCAGTGTTGGGAAGGGGACCATAGATATCGATGCCGACGCGGTCGAATGGTCCGGATGCGCATGGTAAAGGTAGCAAGGTACCGCTAGCGTGATAAGGGGGAGTTTTTCGTCTCTCGCACGTTGAGCAGGCCCGAAGGTATTGTCATATAAAACGGTACATGCCACGCCAGTAATATCGGAGATGTATGCGAGAATAAGTCTTCAGGAAATCTGCGTGGCCACATTGGGGGTCGTCATGAAACGTGGAACGAATTTCGGATCGCAGATGACGTGGAATCATGAGTAGCCAATGACGTCCATCGGGTGCGTAGTTGCGTCAGTACAGCACGTCCTCGCGAGTGGCGAAGTGCTCGGCTTGCCGACGTAACGTGCGAGAAGGGCGGGAAGCCGTCCGCCCAGCCAGGATGTCTAGAATCGAAGCAACCCAAGGGTCTTTGCGTTGCTCAGATGGCATGTCGGCGATGGTGACGACAGTAGCATCACAGGTTAGACTTTCGCAGCAGTCCGGGTCAGGGCATAGAGGCGAACGGGATAGGGCATCTGCGTCCGAATGTTTCCGGCCGGAGCGATAGACCATGCGAATATTATATTCTTGGAGGCGTAATGCCCATCGGGCGAGGCGACCGCTTGGATCCTTCAGTGACGACAACAAGCAGAGGGCGTGGTGGTCAGTCACGACGTCAAAAGGGCGCCCGTACACGTAAGGTCGAAATTTCTCTATCGCCCAAATAATGGCGAGGCATTCTTTTTCAGTGACAGAATAGTTGGTTTCGGCTTTGCTAAGAGTTCGGCTTGCGTAGGCAACCACGTACTCTTGGAAGCTATCTTTCTTCTGTGCAAGAATAGTGCCTAGCCCGACACCACAGGCGTCGGTGTGGATCTCTGTGGGTGCCGATGGGTCGTAGTGTCGCAGAATAGGCGGTGACGTGAGGAGGCAGCGCAGCTCATTGAAAGAGTCGTCACAGGTGGCAGACCAGGCTGAAAGGTCTCTAGAGCCGGCGAGGAGCTTGGTCAAAGGAGCGATGATCGTCGCAAAATTGCGGACGAAGCGCCGGAAGTAAGAGCAAAGGCCTATGAAGCTTCGGAGCTCTTTCATGGTGGTCGGTTTGGGAAACGCTGAAACGGCTGTAAGTTTGGCAGGGCCGTCTTTTGAAACCACGTGGCCAAGGATCGTAAGCTTTCGAGCGGCAAAATTCCACGTCTTCAGATTCAGTTGCAGCCCCGCGGCGGAAATACACGCGAGGACTTTCTCCAGACAGGTTAAATGGGTTGCGAAATCAGTTGAAAAGACGAAAATATCATCTAAATAACAAAGGCAAACGTTCGATTTGAGGCCTCGAAGGATAGAGTCCACCATCCGCTCGAAAGTAGCTGGCGCGTTGCAGAGGCCGAAGGGCATGACTGTTAATTCGTAAAGCCCATCGGGCGTGATGAAAGCAGTTTTTTCACGATCGGCCTCTGCCATGGGTACCTGCCAGTATCCAGAGCACAGATCTAAAGAAGAGAAAAATTCGGCTCCCTGTAGGCAGTCCAAGGCATCGTCAATGCGTGGCAGCGGATAGACATCCTTGCGCGTGATTCGGTTGAGACGCCAGTAGTCCACGCAAAACCTGATGGATCCGTCTTTCTTCTTCACCAACACAACTGGAGAGGCCCAGGGACTGCTTGACGGTTTGATTATGCCACGTGTCAGCATGTCGTCAACCTGTTCATTGATGGCACGGCGTTCGGTGGTTGACACACGATATGGACGCTGCCGTAATGGCGTCTCTTGACCGGTATCTATACGGTGAACAACAGATGACGCTCGACCTAAGGAAGGCTGATTGTAGTCAAACGAGGCTCGAAAATGCTGTAGGAGCTTGATCAGCTGTTTCTGCTGCCCAGGCGTGAGGTTACAATCAATGGACTTGCGGAATACATCCATAGGTTCATTGGCCTCAGTTGCGGGTGTAATGGCACAAGTCGGTAAAAATGGCTTGTCTGGATAGATCGGGTCTTCGAAAATACAATTTAAGGTCTCGAGGCTTCCCAGACACTCGCCGCGTAGCAGGATGTACGGACAAGCAGAAACGTTGCACGCATAAAGTACCGCCGAACCATTGGAAAAGTTGATGACGGCAAACGGGAGGACGATGGTTCGGTGTTGCACACTAGCTATAGTTGGTTGGAACAGGGACGTCGAGTTAGTGGCAGCAGGGGAAAACACAGGCACTAAGACGGCGGACGTCAGCTGCGGCAAACACTTTCGAGGGACTGTGGTGGTCGATATCAAGGCACGGATTCGTCAATGTGAGTTCAGCACGAGCGCAGTCGACGAGAGCCTGATGGGTAGAAAGGAAATCCCATCCTAGTATGACGTCGTAAGATGAACGTGGGAGAACAACAAAGCTGACGGCATACCAAACATATTGAATAAGAACGCGTGCTGTGCACTGAGCTGTCGGCGCGGTGAAATGGGAGGTGACTGTACGCAGAGCAAGATTCGTAAGCGGCATTGTAACTTTTTTCAAATCGCAACACAGTTTTTCACTAATTACAGAAACGATGGCGCCTGTATCGACAAGTGCACGTACAGCAACAACTTCTACGAGCGCATCAATTTCGTTGGTCGGACAAAGAGGAGGTCTTAGAAAGTTCGACGACGACGCAGTTCTTGCCTCCGTAACTGCGGCTGTCAATTTTCCTCTCGAGCGGGGCTCGTGCGCCGAAGCATCGGGGAGACAGATCGGCAACGGGGTGGTAATGACCGGCGAGAATCGACAGGGCATCGTGGGGACAATGAGTTGGTGATAGGAGAAGATGGTCGCTGGGGATTCTGGGCAGCCTGGTAATTTGCAGAATTCCCATGGTCTGGAGGCTGGAAGTTGCGACGGCGACAGTAGCGTGCTATATGTCCCACGAAACCGCATGCAAAACAGATGGGTCGATTATCCAAGGTGCGCCATGGGTTAACGACAGAAGGTGCAGGGGGCGAAACGGGATGGGGTGCCGTGTATGTAGGCAGCGTCGTAGGGTAGGAGGACCTGGTGCCCCGGTATGCGCCAGAGATAGGTGTGGCTGGGGGTCTAGCAACGACGGCAGCGTAGGTCAGCGCCGTAGGGACAGATGGCGATGGAGGCAGTGCCTGCGTGACCTGTGTCTCGATAACCTGACGTAGACGTGGGTCCAACGAGGTCACTGGCGCAGATGCTTCGGCCACAAGAGAAAGCTGAAGCGCAACTTCCTCACAAATGAATTGTTTGATTTGAGGCAGTAAGACGGTGTGATCAGCAGCGACGTTGTGTACGAGGGCGGAAACTTCAGCCGTATCTTCTGCGGCCGTGTGCATCGAGACACGCTGCTTACACAACTCGTCGTACTCCTGACAGAGCTGGACAACATCGGTGATGGTCTGTGGATTTCTAGCGACGAGCATCTGGAAGGTGTCGTCGTCAACTCCTTTGATGATGTGCTTGATTTTGTCGCGTTCGGTTAGAGATTCATCAACGCGCTTGCAAAGGGATAAGACATCTTCAATGTAACTCGTAAAGGTCTCGTCCCTGCACTGTACTCGACTACGGAGATGCTGTTCCGTGCGAAGTCGGCGCACAGCGGGACGACCGAAGACCGCGGCGATAGTGGTCTTGAAGGTGGATCAGTTGGTAATTTCGCCTTCGTGGTTCTTGAACCAGAGGCTGGCCACATCAGCGAGGTAATAAATAGCACACGTTTGTGAGCTGGTCGCAGGCGTTCCACTTGTTGGAAGTGCTTACGATTTCGTACGCGACGAGCCAGTCCTCGACGTCTTGTTCGTCGTTGCCGCGAAAAATTGGTGGGTCGCGTTGCCGAGGCGCGCCAGTACAATAGACTGTCGTTAGTAAGGCAGCTTGAGAAGGGCCAGGAGCAGTCATGGTGAACGGTGAGGGTAGCGTCCGATTGCGAAGTTCCAGGTTGATGGGAACCCCGGCACCTCCACCACTTAAAATAGAGGTGTTGTACGTCGAGAAAGTTACAGACGTAGCTTGGCAAAATGTCCTTTATCAGGCAGGTCTGGCTAATGGCGAGCGGCGTGCGCAAGCTACTATTGCAGCCACCGATCATCATTGTCGTCTTCATTACCAGCAGAGCGTCCATTAATCAGATTCATTACAATTTATACATATATATATATATATATAGCGAGAGAGAAGGACGTGTTAGCCTCCTCTTTCTGCGGAGTGAACATCCACTCTTTGCGGAAACAATCAGCACGCGCCTTGTGCCCCTACAGCAGGTGGGAGCTTCTACGGGCTGCACTCTCAATACAAAAAAATGGTGCCAAAAGTCTACCTGGAGCGGCTGTGTTCTCTTACACCAGCGTTTTGTACAGTTACGTGAGATCAGATCTAAATGAGTTGGCTGCTAGTCTCACTTTGTATATCAATGCCGTCTCTATGCACAAGCCTTGTGGCCATCTACTGTGATCACGCCGTAGGAATCGTGGTTTCTTGGCAAGGGCATGTTTCTACAATCAATATTGCTCCTAAAAATGCTAGTCATTCTTCGTAAAACATTCCAATATGTTGCTATCACATTCACTACTTCGCCCTGTTGGCGAAACTGACTTTTTTCACATTTGCTAATGTGATATTTTTTTGCTTTCACTCCTGTAAGAACCCTGCAAAATAGTTAGCAGTATGTTGAAGACAAAAATAATAGAAAAGGGAATGCAGATGCCTGTTCGTGGCAACGATGATTTCTGTTTTCGCGTCACAGAAAAATTGTCCTCTGTTAAAATAATCTTCTCGATTCTTAGTGGCTCTCTCTGCCTCGTCCTGTCAATATTTCACTATTCTTTCTGTATTCAAATATGCCTTTAACATAGTTTCCTTCCCTCGATAAAGATTTTTACAGTTTAAAAAATGACGTCGACATCCCAGCAGTGTGACAACATGTGCATAGTGCACCCGTGGACGGTACCACTCTCAATCAGGTCTGCTTTTAAAAAACGATAGCCACGTAGTACCTATATAATTTAAGCGATCGCTTTGGCGTCGATTCAACAAGGCGAGGGAGATGCTCGGGTTCCTTTGCATCAAAGCATGCAGGTGCTTTTGGTGAAGCTCCTCTTTCGCTACGAATCATGAGCTGCTCTGGCATTGATGAGAAAAGCGAGAAAGATTGCTGAGTTCGTTTGCATCAAAGCACTTAGGCGTAGCTCCTCTACGCACGCGTCTGCGAGCATCATTCTTGAATAATGTTTTTGCATACAAGCGCAAAAAGTTGTCGCACGATTTTTTTCTCACCTATAGACATGGGTGCAAGTACTGCACCAAACGCTGTAGAAAATGTTATGCCGTTACTTAAAACTTAATCACAACATAAAGGCGACAGTCATAATTTCAATGGACTGTGATATGCTTGCTATTGCAATGAAAGAAAAGTGTTTGAGGCGTAGCATGATGCGATCTGTTGACCACAACGAAACATTTCTAAGCAGTTTCCTTCGCAGCAGTTCACACTACTACCCTGCTATTTCTTAAGACGGTCTTTTACTCAGCGCGCGTTAAAAGTTGAGTGAGCTGTTCGAGATTTGGGGGGAGGGGGGATAGGCAGTATACATTACTAAAAATTTATCTGGCCCGGTGGACCAAAGGAAAGTCACACGGAGGATAAAATTAAAATGGCTAAGCATAAGCTGTGGTAAAAAGATAGCAGTTAATTAAAATAAAAACTCCCGTATGTCCAGAATATACCATGTCCCCCATAGTGGGGTGGACATGTTTGTGTCATATGGATGCTGATAGTGCCATAGTCAAGCGCTCATTGTGGTGCCAAATTTCTCAATCTGACAGGTGGAGCAGGCTATCAAGCGCTATGGCAACAAGGAGGTGAAGTGGTCGTCACAAGGCATGCTCCGTCTGGAGCCGGCGGCCATGCGCGAACTGTTCCGCCCCACGCTGGCACGCATCAAGGAACACATCGGCAGTGTGCTCGGGGACCCACACTTGGGGGCCATTCACTACTTATTCCTGGTGGGGGGCTTCGCCGAGTCGCAGATGCTGCAAAAGGAGTTGCGTGAGGCCTTCACGCCTCATACGAGGGTTATCATTCCACAGGTGAGTTTTACACATTGCGCCGCCGTACCAGTCACAGAAAGTTCTCTCTCTCTCTTAAAGCATCGCAATGGCAAGGATCAACAGCTGTGCCCACAGTATCGAACTGATGCGCAGTTTTTCATGTATTTAAGAGTGAAACTCTTATTTAAAAGTGAAACTTTTACACGCATAGAAAAGCTCCGAGGCAAAACGACAAGTGTTCACGAAAAAACTTTCGCGCCAACCGACGGAGACAATCCGCTCAACTGCCACATTGAGTTTGCCTACCGAGCAACCCAAGTACGATCGATGAAAGGCTCACACTTCTACCAGGGATGCCATGGCCAGTTTTGCACGTTAGTTTTGGTGCTGGAGTTTATACAATCTTGCATAGTATGAGACAGGCTGTGGTTCGACTCTACTTTGTCTACACCAAGGAAAGACTTAGCATCAGCCAAGAAGGCCATGTTAAAGCCTCATAGGATTAACCAGCTCTGACTAGCATGGCCAACATGTTTGTCAGAGTTCTGTTGTATATGTTCACCAGCCCATTCGTCTGAGGGTGCCAAGACAATAAACGGTGGAACTGCGAATTGAACTAACGAACCAGTTCTCCGACGGCGCCCACGACGATCGAACTGACGACCACGATCACTGATGACCACTCGGGGTGGACCATGCTGAAGAATGATGAACCTAAGCAAAAACATCGTCACGCACGCAGCTGTCGAAGATGATATGGCCGCCGTTTCTGCGCAAGGAGTCATAAGGTCGACGCGTACTGGCACCCACCGATTGTTAGAAGATCGTGTGATTGGGCAAAAAATATCAATATCGACTTTTTCAAATGGTAGATGAGGTGGTGGCATGTTGTTGCAGAAGACTAAGCGGAGGATTTGCAAGGTTCTTTAGCACTGACATTGCTCAGAAAACGCGAAATATTTCTCGACTGTGTCTCGCATTCTCGGCCAGTAAAAGCACTCTTTGGGCAGATTAAAAGTTCTGATGAACACCAGAGATCAGCTGTGGCATCGTCATGTATGGCTCTCAGTATGTCCAATTGTAAACTCTGTGGTACAACCAGAAGGAAGCATGCGCCTTGAAGGCGCGTTTACACTAGAGCGACACGACACTAACACGAGCCTGCTGAAGACACGAGGCAGACACAAACCATCGTCCGACGAGTCACCCGCTGACGAAGTCGCCAGACCTCATAGTCACACCAGGCCGACGACGAAGACGCCTCGAAAGACAGCATTTCATTGTAGTGTAACATGATGATAGACCAAAAGCGCCAGCAAAATGCATCGGCAGACCTGTCATCGGCATATCTTTGGGATATCTGCAGCTGAGCGGAAATTCGCCTCATGTCTTTGCTTCAAACGACCACGAAGCAGGCAATCTTGGGAGAGTTAACAATGCCCTTTCCGAGGCTTCCGAGCCGTCTGAATAGGCAGCTCGTGCACCCAACCGAAATCTTTTCTTCACTTCCCTATTTTGTGCACCACCCCCGTCCCTCGTTACCATAAATTATGGTGGGGGTTACGTCGTGTAACTGGAGAGAGACAATGGGGGAGCAGGGAGCATGGCTGAAAATGAGGTACAGGAGTGCAAGTTTAGTCCGTGTCGCAGCGTGTTCTTGCAGTGTGACTACAGAACTGCCTAATGAAAGGCTGTGAGCACGACAAGGCGCGGGCAGGGTCTTAAAGAGACCACCCGCGGACTGCTTGTGTCTTTGCAGTGTACATAGGCTGACGACAAGAGAAAAGACACTTCTAAGAACAGCCCGCAGACCAAAATTTGTGTCTTGTCTTTCTAGTGTGAATGCGCCTTTAGCCGTATAATTGGTCTCATGTGGGTGGGCCGTCATGAACACAAAACTGGCTGGTGGCTCTATAGAACGCGATGTCGTGACAAATAATGGCTCCAAACTAAAATCAGTCTCTTGTTCTCCCTTGAAAGTAGTTGAGTCTGGGAACGTAGATTGAAAAGGAGCAAAACAGTCGTCAAAACGATCGTCACACTCCACCCTCATCAGAAGAAGGCGGGAGAGACAGTTGGTACCTGCGTGGCAGCGTTCATATATTTACGAGATGACGAAGTCGTTTTCCTGAAGTCGAAAAGCCCAACTCTTCAGTCGACCACTCGGGTGACGGAGATTCACCGGCCAACATAAAGCGTGGTGATCGGTACAGTGAGCGGGCGTCCATATTCATATAAGGCCGAAATTTGTGTACCGCCAAAACTGCTGCCAAGCATTCTTGTTCCGCGGCGGTATAGTTGTGCTCAGCCGAGCAACTGGCATAATCCACTACCAGCTCAGCTCCTTCATGACGCTGTACTCCTACTGCACCAATGCCACTAGCATCAGCTTGCACTTCCATCGGCGAGGACGCATCATTGCAAGCCGAAGTCCAGTAGAAAGGGATGTCTTCTTGAAAAATACGTTTGGGAATGGACCACTTCGGTGAACCTTGGCATGAAAGGACGAAAATATGAGCATAAGCCCAAGAAGCTCAACTTCCGCACCGACTTTCATGGTTCGAAAGAGCCGACAGCCTCGATATTAAGTGAGTCTATGGCTTCACACCATTTTTATCAACGAGATGACCAAGTACTATAGTTTCTGTTTCAATGAAAAGACATTTCTTAGAGTCTAGGATCGAGCCAGCCTTTCCACACGATCTGAAACAAGACTGACATGTCTGTTATGCTCGTTCAGTGTGCTACCGAAAATGCCCACATCACCTAGGTAGCACGAATTTCTCATTTAAGTTCTCGAAGTATTGTGCCTATAAGTCGTTCGCATGAGTAACGCCGAGTAATTTTGTAATTGTACAGCAGAAATTGCAAAAGAAATTGGCCTGCTTTGAGAAAAACAGAATGCTGTTTGGTCATAGGCATATGTGTGCGATTAAAAAGCGGACGCTTCCCATCAAATCACATACATTCAATAACATGATTGATTGGTATGTGGGGTTTAACGTCGAAAAACCACCATACATTCAATCACATACACATTTCTATACATTCAGTCTTTTTTGTCCCCTTAACACATAATAAAAGCATATCAAACAGGCTACGTTCCTGTAAATGCACCTTGAAGGTGCGTTTACACTAGAGCAACATGACACTGGCATGACCCCGACGAAAACATGAGGCAGACGCAAATTATCGGACGACAAGTCCCTGCCTAATAAGTCGCCAGACACCATGAACGTCGGACTCTGCCCAGGCGACGCTGCGAAAAACGCCGCCACCAGCGTCCCCATCACTGCGCCGGCCATAAATGGGTAGTGCACAGAGAGCCGTCTGCAAGCGAATGTGCGTTGGCCCTCCTCTATTGCTGCTCTTGAGGCACGGTTTCCTGAAAATCAAGGACCGGCAAGCTTCTTCTTTCAATACAAACTCGCTTCATAAAAGTAGGAAGCTAATCAAAAATGGGGGCACAATGCAAAAGATGTTTAATTTGTTTCAACGTGATGCAATTGGCAATTTAAATGCAAGCGAGCATCGCATGACATCAACTTCGAGGCAAGCACTCTGACGTGCGTTCTGTAATGCCTAAATGCGTTAATATTAGGCATACACATTATGCGAAAGCGAGGAAGTGCATACACAAACCATCTATGCAATCAGTAGTACGAAGCTCGCTTTATCCGGCACGAATGGCTCTGGTGATTTTTGCTTTGCAGTTGCATTCTTTATCGAATTTTCGCTTCCTGTGCATTGAACAGTTTTTTTACACATGCTCAAATGATCCGTTGATGGTTCTCTTCCATTTGTATAAACTGCAGATGGGGCGCATGCGTGTCCACTTTCTCAGTGTTTAACAAAAGGCAGAACCGGTGCCTCTAAAATAGCTCCGCTAATTGCAGTGACCAACGGCAACAAAAAAAAAAACGATTGTGGTCGCGATCATTTTGCGATTTCCTGTATGATGCATGTGTTGGCATTTCTTAGTTAAAGCCAGGACTCGGAGCCTTCAAAGCCCTACGTGCGTAATGCTGTGCGGTGGCAACAACTTCAGATTATTGGTGGTCGGGACGTGTGCAACGCCCGAATCACCAGACGTCACCCGTCTACAGTTGTATGTCGCACACTGCCGTCAGAGGGTCTGTTAAGCTTCATAATAAATGTTACCACGGTTTTCCATCAAGGCTACTCAAAACAATAGCAGGGGGCCTCTGTGGCATACCAACTTTTTCGCGAGTGGAAGGGTAAACAACCTACCTAACTCGTCAGGCGGAATTTATATATATATATATATATATACATATAAAGATATAGATAGATATAAGCTTTTTGATGGCTGCATTTTCGTTGGAGGCGAAAATGCTCTAGGCCTGTGTGCTCAGATTAGGGTGCATGTTAAAAAAACCCAGGAGGTAGAAATTACTGGAGCCCTCCTCTACGGTGTCTCTCATAATCATATGGTGGTTTTGGGACGTTAAACCCAACATATGAATCAATCAACTCACGACCATTCAGTCAAAATGTGTGTACACTAACCCCTACACCACACCACGCTACAGAACCGTCTGAAATGAAATAAGCTTGTGCGCACGGATGAGTCCCTTGCACACGGCGCGAACATTCTGGTTGTTACCCCATAGAACGGATGCTTTACTCCACAAGGAGGAAAGTGCCCCTTCTTGCGGTGCCGTTTGCAATCTTTTGCGCACATTTCGTCTTTTGTAGGTGCAAAGAGCTTTTTTCTAATCTCTCCCTTGCCGCCTCCTTTTGGGTGCATTGTTTTTTCTTTTGCTTGCGATAGTGGCGCCCCCTGTAATGCGCCACGAGCTTGCTCCAGCGGGGGAGAGGAGAAAGCGGCACATTTCAAAAGAACGCTGAACTTTTCCGAAGGTATAGGGGTTTTAGGCGAAGCGCGCTCATTGCGCCATCTTGCTGGTAATGCTGAAAACACGATACAGTGGAATCTCGATGATACGATCACGGCTAATACGAATTTCCGGATGATACGAATTTTTCTGTGGTCCCTGCCAAGCCCCATTACTTTG